TCTCTCTCTCTCTCTCTCTCTCTCTCTCTCTCTCTCACACACACACACACACACACACACACACACACACACACTTGCACAGGGTTTCTTTTCTGCAAGGGTCTTAAATCATCCTAGTCAAGATGGCCTTCCTTTCAGCTTTTACAGCTTCTTTATTGGATGTAACCAATTTCCCTCTTCCTCTTTACCCAGAGCTCAGATTCATCAACAGCAACATTTGGCAGGCACAAAATGACATCATTGACATCAAATGAGTTTCCCAGTGGAATATTTCCCAAGGCCTTCACTGCTGACCAGGCTCGGGTTTCCAGTGGGGGCCCAGAACAGATCTTAACCAGTGGCGTAGAACACCCCACTGAAAGAATAATTAGAGGAGATGAGAGTGCTGGATTTCGAGATCTGCACCCAGGGGCCCGCGAGCCATCCCATATCACCGCAGAAACAGATCGCCAGAGGCCTGGGGACTATGTAGCTTCCACACGTCAAAGAAGAGATGAACAACAGCCTGGCCCAACTCCACAGGGCTTACTCCCAGCCAGAGACCAGTATGGTGGGGTGCCCGTTAGTCCAGTCTACCCAACTCCAGATGTGCATGGGATTGGAGCGTTTGTCACGGATCAGCCTGCAGTCCTGTACCCTGGCACTTACCCTCATGCTGTGGTGCCCTTCACTATGGGTCAGCTTGGTGTGTTACCACCAGAAATGGATGACCAGGGATTGGTACCTTTCGGTATGGATCAGAGTGGTGTGCTGCCACCATCGGTGCCTGACAGGGGTCAACAAGGACTGGAAAGACTTCGTACAGCTCAGCTTGCTACAGTTCCATTCAGCACATATCAGCAAGTTATGATGCTTCCTAGAACAGACCAACATGGCATGGAACAGGCTGCCATGTATGACAGTGGTCTGGGACCATGGGACATGGATAGGCAAGGGTTGATACCAGTTGGCATAGATCAGCATGGATTTGTAATATTAGGCACAGGTCAGCAAGGGCTGATTCCCCCTGGTGTGGATCAGCAGGGATTGGTAATGCCTGGCATAGACCAGCATGCATTCCCTCCATCTCTTCCAGATCAATATGGCTTGGTGTCACCTGGTCTGACACAAGTGGGTATAGATCAACAAGGTTTTGGGCAGCCCAGCTCAGAAGCACCAGGCTTCATACAACCTGGTATAGATCAGC